TTCGATTCAGTATTTAAGAGCATACCAAAAGGGTTTGATCAACGTCGAAAAAAAAAAAAACTAGGCCCTTTATCTTTTTGTAATATATTGATAGGATACCTTTCTTTTGTGACGTCGAAGACCTCGCCGTTGCTCTGTCGATGCCAGCACGACTCTTGAAATAGTCCGATGATTACATAAAAACGGAAAAGCTCGGGTAGTGGTGAAAGATTCGTACCCTTTCATTTGCTCTACAGTCAAGACCATATCACTTTCAAAGAGCTGATTCGTCAGTGGTCGATTGGCGCCCATCTCTGTGCCATCGTAGAGTGGCTGCAGGACACTGGGATTCCGAATCGGATCCTAAAATCAAATTCTAATAGTTGAAAACAAAGACATGACAAAGTTTATCCACAAAAATAAAATTGATCTTACAACTAGATTTCCCTAGCATCTAGAACAAGAGGCTTACGGAGGGAACTATCAATTTATAGAATCTTCTGCCGCTACTTCAGTTTCGGTGAAGTCCTTCTTGATCAGGTCCTGTCACCTTTTCTTTGGGCTCCCTCAAAGAACCTTCGGGGACCTTCCGAGTCTTTGCAAAGGCATCCATAGATGCATTCATGCAGCTAACATTCTTTTCGCAAGCCGGCGCAAAAGCTTGTACTTGAATGGCGGGAGTTTTTAGGAGGCGGAGAGAGAAGCCTCCAACGAACAAGCCCTCGATCACTCATTATTTTAGTGGGCAGAAAAAGTTCTCAATCAAAATGTATTTGTAAAAGTCGGACCTTAACATAGCTAGGTCCTGTAAAGAATGAATTGAAAGGAAAAACATGAGTTGAGCGGACATCAGAGCATCACGCTGATCAGTACCTGGACTGCATTTCCCGGTTGTTGTTCAGTGAGCGACTGGAAAAATGCTTCCATGAGTGTTTGAACAGCACCGTAGTCTTCGTTGGCACCGTGGTGGACGTCCGAAAATGTCGCGATCTCACGAATCATCTGAAGCATATTCTGCTTATTCTATAGAATATTTAGGGCACATTATATTAATGGAGCTGTAATAATCATGTTAGATATGATAAATATAATAAGTCAGACACACATAACAAAGAACCAACGAAACAAATCAGTTCCGAATAAATGAGGTGTATTTATGTGGATAGACCTTTTGAAATGGAGTATTCATATGAAATGAGGTCATGGCGCAGCAAGAAACCGAAATGGTGCAAACCAGCATAGGGATAGACCAGTGGTCTGTCAAAATTATATCCTCACAGGGTCGATAGTGTTCCCATGATATCCTGTGGATTATAGCTAACAAAAGAAAAAAGACAAAATACACTTGGTCAATCTATGGAAAAAATGGACTGTCTTACCCTAGCCGTATTATGGGCCAGTAGCTGTGGATTGAGGCGTGTGATTTCGAGTGGTTGAAGAGGGGCTGGTGTCGGAGGCGCTGTTGGAGGAGCCCAATTCCAGTACTGTGGGGCAGGTGTTGGTGCTCTAGCTACTTCTCTGAAATCAGTTCATTTAAGACTAGGGATTTTCAAACATGAGAAATCTTTCAAAACGCTGTTGTATCATTCGAGCAAAGGCAAATCTACATCTTTGGTGACCGCAGTTATACCCGGTCACTGACAAGTTGAGGTAATCGTGTTTCCTGCGACACAAGCACCGTAAAAGCAGGTTCATAATCGCATCCAACCATAATCCTCTTTCAGTGCACTGCTACTGTCAAGTTGCATATATGTACTTATTTCTTTTCGATTGGATTCATTCTCATACTATTTAGAAGATGGCAATGCGTCGAATGTTCAGCTGCTGATTGCTGATCAAGTGCCGAGAGATCTTCGCCTCTTTCACATGTGACTACGTCATCAGAATTCTTCGAAATTTTACTTGAGGCCACCTGAACGAAATGAACTACTGGAGGCCGATACCATGCAGCTAGCGGGAACCCCCAAAACGCAAGTTAGTCAAGGTTGAGAGGAAGACTCCAAACGAGAGGCACGCCCTTAGCGGTAGCTATTAAGTATTGGGTTGTAACATAAGTTCGTAGAGTTTTTTCACAAGGATTTATTTCAACAAAAAACATAATCCTTACTTTATATAAAGCGCTCGCGTCTGTCTGTCCGTCCGTCTGTCCGTCTGTCTGTCTGTTTGTACGGAAATCCATAACTCCTGTCCCCGTGGACCTAGGACGTTCAAATTTGGTAGGAACACAGGCGGCAGGATGGGAACGCATAACGTGGGTGGCAGGACCGAGCTCACCCCATAGGGGGCGGGGTTTGTGCGACCAAAATGTTTCAACGGAAAATCATAACTCCTGTCCCCGTGGACCTAGGACGTTCAAATTAGGTAGGAGCACACTCGGCAGGATGGGAACACATAACGTGGGTAGTAGGACCGGACTATGCCCACTGGGGGGCGGGGTTTGTGCGAAATAAA